TTAATTAGCATGGATATTTAAACATTTCTTAATTTTACTTACCTGCAGCCAGCCCGTTACCAAAAAGGGCATACGCAACCATCCGGCTAAGAAGGCGAAGACATGTTCTAAATGACTCTTCAACTAGTGTCACCATACATGAAGTGAGAAAAGAAATCACAAAACAGTTTGAACAACTTATACCCACCAAGTACTGTAAGTCAAGTGACAAAGTCTGTCCTGCAGGTCCCCCCGGATATCCTGGTCCCACTGGAGCGAGGGGACCACGTGGCAGGAGGGGACCAAAGGGAAAGAAAGGTCCTCAAGGCCCCATGGGACCTCCTGGAAAATCCGGAAAAACAGGAATAACTGGTCCTGCAGGACCGAGAGGAGAAAAGGGAAGCAATGGAGAACCTGGGCCAAAAGGCATGCCGGGACCACCTGGAAAGCCTGGAAAATCNGGGACCAAAGGGAAAGAAAGGTCCTCAAGGTCCCATGGGACCTCCTGGAAAATCCGGAAAAACAGGAATAACTGGTCCTGCAGGACCGAGAGGAGAAAAGGGAAGCAATGGAGAACCTGGGCCAAAAGGCATGCCGGGACCACCTGGAAAGCCTGGAAAATCGATATCTGCTCCACAAGTGATGTTGTCGCCAGCAGAGCAGACACGAGATGAGGGTGGAAATACAGCATTTTATTGCACGGTTGCAGGAAGCCCTTCCCCGGTCGTGGAATGGCAATTTAAGGGCACAAAGCTTCTGTCAGGTGCAAAGTATCTGATTAAAGAAGGAGAGTTGATCGTTAGAAATATGAATTACAGCGATGCTGGACCGTACACATGTGTTGCCAGAAACATTCTTGGATCGTCCGAGGCTACTGGTAACCTGACTGTTCGAGGTAAGCGGAGTACTGTACTTTTGCTATTTCTAGGTTTCTTTGTGTTCCGAGAATGCGAGAATACGAGGTTGAAATATATAAATGGCACTGTTGTTTAATCATGTACTTTTATCTCTTCCTTCATTTTAATTCATCCATTTTTCTAATTTGTTGTTAGCCACTAGTCACCAGTGAAGTTAAACGATTAACCTGAGCCAAGCAAACATAAAGATAATTTTAAGAAATCATGTTTAAGATAATAACAGATGACAACCTTCTCCATGTACGCGAAGGCATAACAACACCATTCTTTCCTTCCTGTCATTTTTTTTCTTTTATCGTTAATTAGCATTATCGCAAACTACCTCAATACATGGCCATGATGAATTTAGAGTTTGCTTCAAGGTATTTGGGTTAGTCTTCACCTTCAATATGTTATATTATAAACATTTCTTACATATTTCTCACATATCTTTTTGAGTCGTTTCTTTTGCTCCCAATACGTACTTTTCGGTTATCTTGTTGAACGTTTCGTTAACAAAGTTTCTAAGTAGTTTTCTAGCTAGATGTGGATTAGGGCATGGAGACTGACAGGTTTCTTGGAAAAGAAAAGAATTATGTCACAAATTTAAAGTCCAATTAATTAATCTGTTTTACTGTTCATCATGGTTAATTTTCAGCTCTTGTTTTTAGGTCTTCCAATCTTCATAAAAGTTCCACCCTCACTTGCTACACCAGTACAAGGTTCTAAGTTTCAAGTAAGTTGTCAAGCTGAAGGATTTCCCCGCCCTATGATAAATTGGACTAGAGTAGGAATGCCCTTACCTGCTGGAAAGACAAATATCAACCAAGGAACACTTACCATTAACAACCTGAGTCCTGCTGACAACGGGTTTTATGACTGCGTAGCTACTAACGTGATGGGAACAAAGAAGAAAAGAATCAACTTAGCAGTGCAAGTGTATCGTTCAGGTTTGTATTGAAGGCACCGTCTCACTCTGTATATACCTCATTCAATAAAAGGTTGCTTAGGAAATGGGGCACTTATTTAGGTTTGTATCAAAAGTACCATCTACATTTGCCTAAGTAAAAAAGAGAGTTGCTTTGGCAATTGGCGAATGGCAATTGGGCATTCGGCATTTGCATATCCCTCAATAATTCATCTTTTTTGGCCTCTAAATTTTTGCAAAAACCCTGCTATAAATTTCTCCTGGTTATTACAGTCTCGTAAGAGATATTGAAAACAATGCCTGCTGCAATATACTGGATTGTTAGGGGCCTAAGGGGTTTATTATTGGAGATGTGCCAATGGCGAATTGGAAATTAATGTGTTTATGAAATTCACTAACGTACAGTGTTTTGCTTGAATGTGCCAACAATAGATTCCCGTCAAGTGCAATTTGCCGTTTAGACACTAAAGACGGATTATCCGTCTAAGAAGAATAATACATCTTAGACGGATAATTCGTCTAGATGTGAAAACGGGACGATGTTCAATTTAGACGGATTATTCGTCTGATTTTATCCGTCTGTTTATCCGTCTTTTTAACGAATTTTGAGGACGAATTATTCGTCTCGAATTCACACTAGACAGATGAACTCAACCCTTTTTTCCATCCAAACTCGTCTCCAGTGTGTTCTCGCTTTCCAAAAAACAAAATGAGGCGAGGTTTTTTTTTTTACTTAAAAACCTGGAACTGGAAAGGGTCCGTACAATCGAGGGATTTGTGGAACAAAACATGGCGTCCAAAGTGAAAGTACTGACACGCCAGAATAAACAGAAATCACAAGGAAAAGGAAAAACGTTCAAAAAGAACACGTGGAGTAAAAGGGAACTTTCTTTTTTTTCTCCAGTATTATCCTCGTTTGAGATGGAAGAGTCAAGCCTTGGGCTCGGCTCCAGTCTTAGAAAATTTGCGTGGAAGAAAAAATGGTGTATTAGAGTTTTCTTTTCCTCGACATGAAACCATGGTAATTAAAGCTTTCCACAAATTGCTTGGCAACTTTTTGGCAACTTCTCGTATTTTGAGCAACTTTTTTCGTTTCGGGCAACCTTTTGCATTCTGAGTTATTTCTCTAGTTACTGTAAAATTCCGAAAATAAGCCCCGGGGCTTATATTTTTCAAAGGCCTTCTTTGAGGGGCTTTTTTTTGGAGGGGCTTATACTCGGAGGGGCTTATCTACGGAGGGAAATTTGCGTTTCAAAATCGATCGGGCTAGCCTTATAGTTGGAAGTAAATTTACCGTTTTTGCTTTGTCTTACTTTGTATTTGAGGGCAATTTCCAAGTAAAAGCCCCCGAGGGGGCCTATATTTGGAGGGGCGATTTAACGCAGGGTTGTTTGCGTTACGAGTTTAGGGGGCTTATGTTTGGAGGGGCTTATACACGGAGGCGCTTATTTTTCGGAATTTTACGGTATCTTCTAATTCTGAGATATCGGAGCAACTTTTAGTGCTTAAATTGGCCTTTCTTCCATATTTCACAATGTTTTTGTAGACAAATTATGAACTTCCTGCAAAAAAGGAGCCAAATCCTCCCCCTGGAGCAGATCATAGGCGCAAGACACCAGGAGCAGGGCTGCTAGGTCAGCGGTTTTTAGAGAAAATCAAAAATGGTGGACGAAGATTCACACTCGACTGACTTGAGTGTCTTGGGTGAAGAAGGTCATTCAACAATTTTGTTGGATCATTACGTTTTTGTATTATAATTGATCATGAGGACAAAGTTAAAACTGCACAAAAATGCTTTAAGATCTTACTTTTGTTGTACAATTTGCATATTTTAGCATCAGACCAAAAACATTTTTGTTTTTTCGAGCAACTTCTGAGCAACTTTTTGAGAAATTACGGGAAACGTTTTGGAAAATCTCGAACAACTTCTGGAATTAAAGCCCTAATTGTAATGGATTGGTGACCGCGCCAGAACGTTGAAGGAATGGTTTTCTTGGGTTCATCCGTCCAATGTGAATCCGTGACTAGGCAAATTTAAAATCTTTATCCGTCTCAAATTCACATTAAGACGGAAAATATATTAGACGGATTATTCGTCTCGACGGATTATCCATCTCTTGTGGGAAAACGGCCATTGCCTACTTACCCTAACAGACTTTATATTAATGCAACTATTCTAATGCAATNACGTTTTTGTATTATAATTGATCATGAGGACAAAGTTAAAATTGCACAAAAATGCTTTAAGATCTTACTTTTGTTGTACAATTTACATATTTTAGCATCAGACCAAAAGCATTTTTGTTTTTTCGAGCAACTTCTCAGCAACTTTTTGAGAAATTACGGGAAACGTTTTGGAAAATCTAGAGCAACTTCTGGAATTAAAGCCCTAATTGTAATGGATTGGTGACCGCGCCAGAACGTTGAAGGAATGGTTTTCTTGGGTTCATCCGTCCAATGTGAATCCGTGACTAGGCAAATTTAAAATCTTTATCCGTCTCAAATTCACATTAAGACGGAAAATATATTAGACGGATTATTCGTCTCGACGGATTATCCATCTCTTGTGGGAAAACGGCCATTGCCTACTTACCCTAACAGACTTTATATTAATGCAACTATTCTAATGCAATTTGCCTATCCATAAATCCTTGCGAGCTCTGTTAAACATCACCACTCTTTGATCACAGGACGAAAGTGTATACAGTATGTAACTGGGCGAGATGATCCTCATGATATTGTATAAAAGAGGAATAATATATATTTTAAGTGAAGAAAGTTGGCGAAATGATAAGTATCTGGGCAATAATGAATGAATATAGCCTCAGCTGTTTGCTTTCCCTATTCAGCTTAAATAAAACTAGAAAGATAATCACGCTTACGAGCCTCAACCATTCGTGTTCTACATCGTCCGTTGCTTGTCACGGTCCGAAAAAGTACAACAGGTCTAAAAGATTAGAATGAAAGCTATTGTCATTGTGTACGTTGGGCTTACCACAATTTGCATTATGCGTCATTACTGGAGTTTTGATCAGTCTAAAACGTGACGCGTTTAATTCCTTCTTAGCAAAACGAATCAAGTTAACGTTAATTTTACATTTTTCAGTATGGTTATCCTATCTCTTTGCTAATAGCTCAGTGAAAATAAATTTAGTTTCTGTGAAATTTCAAATACTTTGTACCTCATATAATGAAAAATGGTCTTATGTTTTTCCTTAGGTTTGGAAAACTCCGTGATTTTGAGAAACAATAGAAACCACTTGACCTCGTTAAGCAGCTGGCTTAAACCTGTGGCTAAAAGCGTTAATTCTCTGTGGAAGCGCTGTTGGCGTGCATCTGTGGACGGCTGGGGTGCAAGTACATTTCACTCCCGATGTGATGGCAAGGGCCCGACTGTGACAATAGTAAGGGTGGGGAGGTATATTTTTGGTGGATACACCAGTCTATCATGGGGTAAGTGAGCATTGTAAAGAGACAAGATTTGGTAACCCCTGTGCCGTTACGAGGATTGATTGATATATGCACTGAAGCCAAGGCACCCTCGTCAGTTAACCTTGTCCGTCATTTCGGGTTCCGGGGGGTGCACTCAACATATTTTAGACGGGGAGTTTCCACCCCAAGGTTCAACCCCTTAATTACCCTTTTTGTACATCATTTCTGGAAGAGAAGGTGCTCCTGTCGTGCACAGTTGAATACTTAATACGGACACCAGTATATAACGGACAGTTTCTTTTTTCCTGACGGAAGGCTTACATATATTCCCTAAAATTAACCCGCTTAATACGGATACTGTTTTAAACGGACAACGGACGGAAAAATAACCAAAGAGGGCGGTGGGGACTTCTACACAAATCCCTAAGCACAAAACAACAAAAAAACCGACATAAGCAAACAAAATAGTCTTTCTATTATCCATGATAGTAAACAAGCTAAGACAGGGGAAGTTGAGGGAAATAACAAAATGTTTGCTAATCTGGTTTTCATAAATCCAGGTAGATATACAGTCGAAGCTCTCCTTGCGACCACTCTCGAAAGCGACTGGCTGTGGTTACGAGAGCAGTTTACGAAAACCTTTGTGAAACCCCGTTTGAACTGTGACTTACACTTTGTAATAAAAAGCTCTCATGTAATCGACCGCTCCCGTCGGCGACCACGCGACCACTTTTAGGATTACCCAACTGGACCTCTCCTTTATTTTTAAGCTATCGTAAGCGACCACTAAGAGGCTTATATTCATATACAGAATATCAACACTTTAATGAAACTGCACACTGCGTTAATGGTTCGTTGATACACAGCAGGAAATTATTGTATTGCTAAACGTTGAAGGTCATTTCCGAAGCGACCACCAGTTAAACGTTAAGTTCAGCCGTGTCTATATCAGATATAAATATATAGATTTAGCCACGGCTAAAAGCGAAGCTCTGGTTAATAATACGTGTAAACCAAAAAAAGATTAAATCGTGTAATCCTAAAAGGGGACGACAATGAAAATGGCTTCAAGACTAATAGATCTAACTAGCAAAAAAACAAATTGCATGTGCAGCACACTTTTTCTTCTAATTTGCAAAAAACAAATTTGCACGTGTAGCACGTTTTTTTGTCTTTCCCTTGCCGTTGTTTTGCACGACTACAACGCTGTTTTGTACGACAAAAACGTCAAAATTCCTAGTTACACATTATTTTTATGGAGGAATTGTCGTATGTGCTTACCAATATTTTGTTTCCTATGTTCATGTTCGGTTTCATTATTCACCGCCGCTCAATTTCACCTTGCTGGCCGCTAGCATTTCTCATTTTCTCACCGCGGCTTTGAATTTCCATGTTTTTCTTCCTACGAAATTCGTCTCCTTTGTTTTCAATAACTCGCTCTAGCTCTTTCTCTGTTATCCACGTTAGTGTAATCATTAAAAATAATGCCGAAAAAGACACGACTTTGTTGTTGTTTTTTCTTTCTGAGTGTCTGGGCGGCCATGTGATTTCCTTCCAAATAATTTGGAATTTGCATTTGGGTCGCCATACCTGTTGATTGAGTTATTTTACATTGGTATGCCTGTGGTGCGGATGGACATGTCGCTCGCTCGCTCGGTGTACGGTCACGTGATTACCAATTTTTTTCAGATGGGTAGATTACCACATTTCCTTAGCTATGGGGCTCTGGCGCGGAGCTCCGCCATAAAGACACTGATTACAAACAGAAACTTCTTTTGTTTTCCCTTTATGAGTTGTTAATGAGTTTTTGAAGGCCTCGTAAGCGACCAGCTCTAGTGACGACCACTTTAAAAGTGAAAATTCCGAGGTGGTCGCATACGAGAGCTTCGATTGCAATACGAAATTAATAAACCTAAATAAAACAAAATTTAAAAGAGACATAAATAGAGTATTCTAACAAATTACTGATGGCCTTATACTACCAAGGTATCCGGTCTTCACTGTAATGTATTGTGTAAAACCTTTATATAATGCATCGATTATTACCTTCAGTTACTATAGACTCCACATTAGATGGAAATGTTATTCATTACATTTGTTACGTATTTGCTGTTTTGATTTGTTTTCACCATTGAATGGGATAATATATGTGGAGGAAAGAACTCAGAAAATCTCATTTCCAGATGGGAATTGAACCCATGTCATTCTAGGCACTAGTCGAATACTCTAGCGCACATCTTTTCTTTCGATTTTGTTTTGATGTATCTGGAACTGCATACAAGAAGGAGGAGGAGGGTACAAAATGTTCACGAACCTTCATCTTGTGTACAGGTGTCACTGCACCTGACGACTGAGTGCCTTTCGCAAGTAAGTATCGGAACAATGTCCCTAATGACGCTTCTATTTCATCCATACTTTCTTGTAGGTTCTGGCTCTGGGTATCGGTATGACTCAAACGCCTTTTTATTCTCACTTGTAAACAAGCCAGGATGGGTACCTGTTAAACTGCCTCAGACGGGGAAAGATAGCTCTAACAGGCGTTATTCTATATACGATAATCGATCATATGGGCCAACATTCGGAGGAGGACATGACATTCACATTAACAACTACGCGTCATCCAATAGAAATTCTTACAGCAACCTTGGCTACACGTACAGCCCACCAAGCGGATACAGCTACGGCAGCAACTTCGCCCAATCATTCATGGCAGGATCGTACAGCTTCACACCAGACGAAGTAGAAACTTTTTACGAAACAACCTAAATAATATAACAAACCACATTCGGCTTTTATGTTTGTGTTTTTATGTTTTGTTGTCTTGCATTATGTGACTAACTAAATAACTAAATAATCTCTAAAATCGATTGTCCCAAAATGCTTCTCAGTAAAACTCTTGGCTCCAGAATGAAAAGAGACTAGGAAATGTTAGAGAACATAATACATGGTTATAAATTATATATAGCAGTTTGGTTATTAAGTATGTGTTAGGCTCGAATACAAGCCGTTGTTCTGGAATTGAGCCCACTCTCCTCCCCCCGAACAGACAAGGTCCGGGAGAAGGGCGGATGTCGATCTTAGGGATATGTACACATTAGAATGGAGAACAATTGCTCGGCGGGACTGTGAGGCTCCAGAGAATATCCCACGCAACCGCTTCAGCCCTGTTTCCCCTCTTCGTTTGGTAAAAAGATTTTTCAGAGCCTTTTTTGGATTCTGATTAACGCTTAGTTTATGGTTTATTTGTAGTACTTAAATTTCAACTCAAGAGTTAATTATCTATTCCATCTTTATTCCATTGTTTCGCCCAGACAATACATCAGATCAAGCAATCAGTAACGTTTAGGAATCCTTTAATTAAGTTGCCCGTCAAACTTCTTTTCCTTGACGGCTCGAACGAGTTTTGTCACGTGAGATGTACGTCTATATTGCAAAAAAAATGAGATACTTCAGCGTTTTTAATGTAAAACGGTCACTGGATTAATGAATTAATGGTACTGTTTTTCAACAACCCTTATTTAGTCTATTCAATTGCAGTTTTTGTGAGATTTTTAAATAGATGTAGTATTTGAACTTTTGTGTCGTGAAATTTTGGTACGATTTTTTTAGACCAAAGTGCACCCTGTTCATTCTAGTCAAGTTTCATCGACAGAGATGACTATATGTTCCGCGATATAGAGTGACTTACATTGCCAAAAACGTTATAGAGAGAGGATTCTGAAGTTCAAGGATTAATTAAAATCTACCTTAAAGTAAAATATATGAGAATAAGCAGACTTATTACATTGAGAATAAACAATAGCAGGGCTAATTTTGCAGTATCTACAAACGACCCTCATGCATCCACAAAGTTCAGAAAAACCCACAGACACAGTCACTTGCATCATTCCTCTACAAACGCAGTACTTCAGCAGAGCCTTTTAATTTACATGACGTCATGTCCGCCATAATAGTGTCCCACCTCAATGAAGCGGCAGCCATATTGGTCCTGTAGGAGTTGAACTCTTTCCTCCTGTCAACACTTTCTTGCGTCGCAATAAATTTGCATAGCTGCTCGCCACGTAAGTGAAAACGCTCTTTAGGCCTCTCAAGCTTTTATATTTTGTTCGCCCAATGTACTGGTTATGGGATAATAGCGCGATTTTCGTACAACCTTGAAATGAAAACGCGCGAACAAAACAGAAACAACAAACGAAAGAAAATAGAGCGTTTTGATTGGTTTATCGAACGGANTTTTTCAACAACCCTTATTTAGTCTATTCAATTGCAGTTTTTGTGAGATTTTTAAATAGATGTAGTATTTGAACTTTTGTGTCGTGAAATTTTGGTACGATTTTTTTAGACCAAAGTGCACCCTGTTCATTCTAGTCAAGTTTCATCGACAGAGATGACTATATGTTCCGCGATATAGAGTGACTTACATTGCCAAAAACGTTATAGAGAGAGGATTCTGAAGTTCAAGGATTAATTAAAATCTACCTTAAAGTAAAATATATGAGAATAAGCAGACTTATTACATTGAGAATAAACAATAGCAGGGCTAATTTTGCAGTATCTACAAACGACCCTCATGCATCCACAAAGTTCAGAAAAACCCACAGACACAGTCACTTGCATCATTCCTCTACAAACGCAGTACTTCAGCAGAGCCTTTTAATTTACATGACGTCATGTCCGCCATAATAGTGTCCCACCTCAATGAAGCGGCAGCCATATTGGTCCTGTAGGAGTTGAACTCTTTCCTCCTGTCAACACTTTCTTGCGTCGCAATAAATTTGCATAGCTGCTCGCCACGTAAGTGAAAACGCTCTTTAGGCCTCTCAAGCTTTTATATTTTGTTCGCCCAATGTACTGGTTATGGGATAATAGCGCGATTTTCGTACAACCTTGAAATGAAAACGCGCGAACAAAACAGAAACAACAAACGAAAGAAAATAGAGCGTTTTGATTGGTTTATCGAACGGATACGAAAGGGCGTGGCCATGGGTTTTGGTTGGTTAAGCGAAGGGTGAAAAAACTTCACGCCCGAGAACTTTCTAGAAATCAACCGATACTTCGATTTGCCGTCAAGCAGCAACACGATTTGCCAATCGAACAATGTCTTCCCCATATTAGGGGTTTCTTTGGCAGGAAAATGAAGAGGCCATGTTTTAATCTTTTCATCCACTTGCTGATAAAACAAATAACGAACACTTACCGAAACCATTTTTCAAGGTCATACGAAAATCGCGCTACTCCAGAGAACTGTTTCCTTCACTGAGATTTCGTCTTATTCATGTTACATGTGCTCATGATTTATGAAAAAGACCCCCTACTGGGAAAACGGCAAAATATATACGTTAGCAAAAGAGGTCTCTTTCCTTTGAAACTAAATTCCCTAATTCGTGTTTTAACAGTTTTGAAAAAACTGCTTGGCCACCCTGTAATCGACCAACAACAAGTGAACGGTCTACATGTGACATCATTGGTCATAACTGTTAGTAATAGTTCTGGAATGCACTGACCCTGCCTTAAGCAATTACCTACCTGTTGGCTCAGAAAGTAATTAAAGTTTTAGAGTACCGCTTCTTTTCCTCCAATAGAGCTTCGAAAATATTTCTCATGTTTTGTAATGACTTATTATGATATGATGTTATTCAGGTATCTCGTCACTAATAGCTTAATAAGAACTTCACACTCTTCACGCCGGCTAGTGTTCTAAATCGCTACACAATTGCAAGTGTCCAGAGAAGTAATACTCTGTCAGTCCAAAACGGCTCCGTTTTGACCGTTTTTTCATAAGTTCCTGTTGCATACGAAAAGGTAAAAAGCCGATCATCTTTACCTATTGGCCTGCAGATCCTCAGGGAATCAAAGAAACCCACTTTACCTGTAAAAAGATTTGGTACAAATTTTCATTTGCTTTAAGCATTTTTAATTTTTGATCAAAAATTCTCCAAAGGGATAAAGGGAAATTGTTCTTTATCAGGAAGAAGGTAAACACCGAATAACTACACTTCAGTAAAGAACCATCATTATTTCAGTAGTGCAGTCAATGTTCGAGAAGAGATCAAGAATGAAGTTAATCTTGCTACATTGGTTCCTTTCTTGTCTTCTTCTCTATACGTTGGCAGATGCTCAACCAATAATAATAATAATTTAATATTTATATTGCGAAAAAACATGTAAATATGATCAAATGCGCATAAAATACCGAGGTATTTTGTTTTCCTTTTAGCTTGATCATGTACCCATCATTACAACCAATCAAAATGGAACAGATCTACATTGAAAATCTCTTGTTTAACACGACCTTACACGTACAGCATGTTAACATTAATTACGGTATTTTATCAGCTGTTCAGGGACTGAAATGGAAGATTGAATGGGGAATTACTGATCTTTCACGTTAACTAGGCGTTAACTTAGTTAATGCTTTTGATGTATGCGCTTTCGTTCAGTGCCGCAGTGCAAGTAAAAAATAATTAATCATTTTTATAGTTCTATTACTTTCTTGGTAATCCAATGTAATGTTAACAGCAGCCTCTCCTGAAAAGAAAGCTGAAAATGTGGAAAAGTCAGGGGCACCCAACGAGAATATAGTTCAAAACCACTTAAGGTGACTCGACCCAGTTTTTTGGGGGGCTACCATCCTACTTTGAAGCTCTCTGGTATCCCCACCTTTACTTTTATCGTAAGTCTAACAAATAGATAACATATGGAACAATCTACAATATAACATAAAATTTTTGGCGATCGGAGTAAATGTCACGTGGTTATAATGCCACGCCCCTTTGAGGTCTGAGTCGAAAATCTGCTGTTGCCGGCATTTTTTCGTGAAAATCTCTCGGCTACACATAGTGCGCATTAGTGCCTTGCGCTGAACAGAGTTTCACCAAAATCGCAAAGACCCAATTCGAGAAATTCAGCGGTTTCCAAATTTAGGTCATAATTTATGCGAAAATGATAAGCAAACTTTACACGGATTATATCTAATAAACTATGAGATTCATCTCTTTATTTTGGGCATCGTTATAACAGATGGGTCCTTGCAAGTCAGCAAAACGCTTTAGGGCCTTGTAAATGCGCGCGATTTCGAGCAAAGCAAACATATAGAAATTATAGTTTTCGCTATTTGTTGACGTTTGTCAGCGTTTAAGAGTCCTTCTCACGAAAAAAGCATTTTCTTAAAAATTCGTAGTTTTTTTTCCTTCAAATTTTTTCAGGGCCACAATTGATTAACTAACTACCCGGACTCTGAATTTCATGGTCATTGAAAAACTGTGACATTATCTTCTATAAGCCCAAACTTGAGTAAACATTGAAGATTTTTAGCGTTTTGGCTGAGTTTGTGCTTTGGGAGTTGTCTATTGTTTCTAGTCTGTCATTATACAGCATTCTTGTTCAGCACGCGTGCAATGACCGCGCTTGGCTGACTTCCGAATGCTCACCGAGATATAATAATTTTGGTACAGTGAGACAGGCCATCGCGTGATACATAGAGGTTTAAGTCACAATTTTTAATCAATTCTCGTGCTTCTTGTGCCTTTGCAAAAAAATCAAGAAGTGCTACACACTAAATCTACTTACTATTAAAAAAATATCATTTTTTCATAGGTTTAATGCAAGCCAATAATTAAACCAACTCGTGACGGGAATATCTCGGTGAGCATTCGGAAGTCAGCCAAGCGTGGTCATTGCACGCGTGCTGAACAAGAATGCTGTATAATGACAGACTAGAAACAATAGACAACTCCCAAAGCACAAACTCAGCCAAAACGCTAAAA